TGTTTCTCTGAAAGAAACAGACCGGCTCCCTTTCTTCCTGTGGCTACATAAACAACCTGTAAAGCTTCCAATCTTTCAAGTGTCCGACAGTCATTAGTGCAGGTGTATTTACGAGCTCAGGCTCTGGAAAGGAACTGAAAGTCTTCACCCTCAAGTACTTCCCACTTTAGCAAGAAAATCAGACAGCGAATAAGAAAATGTACAGGATTGTGTTACGTAGCTGAGTGAACAGGAGGAAGAGAGCAGTGGCGGATGGAGGAGAGTGCCTCTACTTTAGGAAGGGCGATGAAGAAAATCCTCTCCCAGGTGAAATCTGAGAAGAGACATAAATAAAGCATTATCTGGTGGAAGAGTGTTCCTAAGAGAGGGGACTTTGCACAGACAGCGCTGGTTTTCACATAGTACAAAAGGTGTAGCCTTCGGAGTTTGGTCCTCACATTGTGCTTTAGATTTTTACAAGATTTCTGATTGTCAAAGGGAGTCTGATTATAAAGGCACAATGTTCAGAACAAGAGGACTAAGTTGTCAAAAATAGCGAACACCTATATATCTGTTTTTTAAACCACTTAAAAGGCTACAAAACAGGAAAGTAAACTGTGCTTTTTTCATATACGCCTATACTGGATGTCCCAGAAAAGTTATCAGGCACATGACTTCACACTGATTACAAGACTGGTGCGGTCTCCATCCCGACTGACTGGAATCCAGGATGTACCATTTACTGGCTCTGTGTGAGTGAGTGTGCGCGCGCATGTGTGTGTGTGTTTTAAAAAACCCTTTCAAGCTTTGGTTTTTATATCTGTACAGTAGGTACAATGATCCTTCTGCAGAAGATTTTAAGGCTACGAGATGATGCATTTGATGTGCCAGGCTCATATTAGAAGGAAAATTGTGGTATTTATGACATGTTAATAGAATATAAATGTATTACATGTAAGATATGGAATAAGGTGTATACAATTGTGTTAATAAAATATTTCATTTCATGGCATTAAGATAACTAGTCCTTCTGGATGATTTCTTCTTAGCTTATAAAGGAGCTTCTTATCATTCTGTTCTTGATATTTTGGACTCTTCATTTGCTGGAATAAGCCATGAGGCTAGTGCTGATGCAAATCTATGAAAGCATGAATGCAATACCAATATCCACAGCAGTGCTAGTAGTAATGGCAGGAAACCTAGGGACAGAGACCTTGCTACGTTTTGAAACCCAGGACCAGGTTTTCCTACTTGTAAACTATGAAAAGCCATTTTGCCCAGGAAAATTAAATTTATTTAACAAAAGTGCTTTTCCAGAAGCAAAGAGGAATTCTTTCCTCTCTCCTCAGGTCCTCAGTGTCTGTCTCGGTTCAAATCACAAAGGTGCTCTAGGAATGAAGAATGACAACCATGCTTTTCTGGAGAGGCCACAAATAACAAAAGGAAATGAATGGCTCTGGGAGGCAGCCAGGTACAAAGGAAGACACTGCTATTCCTGCAGCACTCAGTCACAGACACCACTAACAGGATGCGGGCATCACCAGGGACCACAAGTGTCTAGGTTCAAAGCCTGGAGGAGGTGAGGTCCCAGGTGCAATACAGGATTATTTATCATCTTGACATGGAGAAGGAAAAGGGTCAGCCAGACCATAAAAGGCTGATGTTGCTGCCAGCTCCACTCATGCTCCAACTGTTACCATGCTCACAATCAAAGTGCCCTTCTTTACAGAGTAGGTGGAACAGACCCCAAGTATTTTATAGGTTGGAAGGACAGAGGTGCAACAAGCAACTCTGTTAACAACAGCTGGAAAAAAGACCAGCCTCCCCTCCTAGGATGCACAAGGCTAGTGGCTTAAGTATTAGTGCTGCAGCTGCTCATGGAGCTGTGTATGTGGTTCAGGCATGCACACCCTCAGCACATCGCTACACTCAATGTCATTTGTCTTCACTGAGGTCCCTCCAGCCATTCCCTCCATTTCACAGGAAATCTAGACTCTGAGTGTCACTTAGCACCAGGAGGAGAGCCTGCAGATGCAAGTTTCAAACAGCTTCTAAATCAGGGATTCAGACAAAATAAGGGCATTTAAGAATCAGACGAAAAGCTTAAAGGTGGAAATGAACAAGTTTGGAAATTTCTGTCTTTCTTAATTACAGAATGATGCCTGAGTGAAACTGTACCTCCATGATAGGAATGTTATAATCCAGAAACATCCTTTTCGCTTTTAAATAGGAAGACCCCATGTTCCCTGACGCATGGCCAGTATCTGTTGTACCGTGTGACACTCATCAGGTCTGCGCCATAAAATTCCTCATGAAAACTCTGGGATAAGTGTTCTCTCCCTATACCTCTCGAGTGTGAAGGTATTTGTATAAAAAAGGTAAACTGCTAGTTACAAATAAACATACATTTATCTTTAGAATGAGACTAAACAAACAAGCAAATAAAACATACAGTGAGTCAATGCAGGTTTTTATATCAGAAGCAGTGACTAAAAGCCTACGACCTGACTAATGAACATTAACATTACGTCCTGTTGTCCTACTCCTTCCTGACCACAGGGATCAATTTGTCTATCCACAGGAGATTCCTTAATGACAGTCCTATCATGGGGGATACAGCAATTACTGCACCATCATAGAAAAGTGTGACAAAGGGCCCAGGAAAGTGAAGTCTTGGGGGTAAATCTCAAACAGGAGTTCTTCATCGTGAAATTCCTAATGAGAATGGCGATGGCATCTCGCAAGCTCATTACGATCACCTGGTGAGTCCTGTTATTCCCTGTTCGGTGGTCACCATGGGGAGGGGAGGTGGGTTCCATAAATGCCTTCTTTAAGAGAAGCTTATAATCGAATGGGAAAAAATACAAAAGAAATGTGGCCCTGGTTCTCAATGAGAGAATACAGTTTGTTATTTTTCCCTTTAGATGAAGAACTGATGGGTGTCACTCAGCGCTGGTGGACACTGACTAGGAATTAGAGGACACAAGGTCTTTCTATTTAAAAGCCAAAGGGATTTCTCTAGATTAAAACATTTTTAGAATGGAGACAAAATTTCATGGGGATATTACCTTCCAGTTAAGAAAGCTTCCAAGCTTCCTCATCTCTACATTTTCTCCTGTTATATTTTCATTTGTATTTGGATTTTTGTTTATTAAGGAATGATGGAGGTACTGAAGATGGACACCCATACATTTTTAAATGTAGTCCTTGTGGAGGCACTAGGGAAAGATGAGGACATGTATATAAATAAGGCAAATTTACTAAGTCAATGTACAAAATGTAACTTTAAAAGGCAGTAAAAATAGGTGAGAAATCAAAGACAAAAATTACAAAATAACTAGGAGTCAAGAGAAACTGAATGGGTATGAAGTAAGAATAGCACAAAGTAGGTACAGGATGAGTAAGTATCCCTTATCTGAAACACTTGGGACCAGAGTTTACAGGTTTTAGAATATGTGTATGTACATAATAATATATGTTGGGAACAGGAACTAATTTACGCTTCATTTATACTTTACATGGATAGACTAAAGAAGATTTTAGACAATATTTTGAGAATTTTATATAAGCAATCCAGTCACATGGTGTGAATTAACCACTTGTGGTGTCATGTCGGTACTCAAAGAGTTTTGGATTTTGGAGCATTTTGGACTTGGGAATTAGCATTTTCAACCCTCAGTATCCTGCCTTCTGCCCTTCCACCACCATGAAAAAGCAAGACACCCACCAGCAGGAACCCGCACCCATGTGGCTCTATAAGATCTGAAAATGGGGACTTGGAGAAAAGCTAAGAAGTGCAGGTCTGGCATCGCAGCTTCAACTTAGCATGATGACTCCTGAGGCAGTTTACAAAATCCTGCTTACAAAAAGAGTAAAGTGCAAAAATTAGAATTGAAAATTTAGAATCAGTAGCACCGTACTGAGCTTCCAAAAATCAGGGCTCCCCGAGCATCAGTAGGTTGGATTCTGGGCTATGCACTTTTTGTTGACTTCTTCAGAATCTTTGCCATAACAACATACACTGGATATGTTAAATACCCATCTTCTACCCAAGGATTTTGAGACAGAAAGATTAGGTATTTGTCCAGAGTCACCCAACTAGTAAATAGCTACAGAGTGAAAGAAACTGGAGTAGACTATGCCTGAAAGCCAAACTCTTAAATCTTTGGTTGTCTGCCTGGATAGCAGAGCATGCTGGTGAGCAGGGGGCCCCAGAGCACTTCTGTAACTCTCAGCCCAGCACACTGTGTTGCACTCTTGCTAAGTTTTAGCTTGAGCTCAGTAAGTACAGTGGTCTCTTGGCATTTTCAAAGGATTGGTTTCAGGAATCTCCATGGATCTCAAAATCTGAGGATGCCCAAATCCCTTATTTAAAATAAAATGTCATAATATTTTTATATAACCGATGCACATCCTCCCTTATAGTCGAAGCCATCTCTAGATTGCTCATCATACATAAAACCATGTAGATGCTATGTACCTAGCTGTAATGCTGTATTGTTTAGAAAATAATGACAAAGAAAAAAGTCTTTTTCCAAATATTTTCAATCTGATCTGAAACCAAAAGACACTGACAGCCACGTTCCTTTGAATGTAATCCTGAATTTCCATACACATTTTTGCTCTTCACACTGAGTTAACTGTACTTGGAAACCAAAGCACTGAAGCTAAGCCTAAAAGCTAGTGTGGGGGGCACTGGGCTGAGAGTTATATGTTGCTTCTAGTCTTTTCTCAGCCACCAACTCACAATGTAAATGTGAGTCAATTATTTGTCCTGAATAATACCAAAGCTTAATCATGTTTATGGTTATATGAAATGCTGGAATATAATGACTCAAACAACCATTTTCAGTGAGTTGGTAACAGAATGGTAACATACGACCTGTATTGAACATCATCAGCTAATCTGACCTGCTATTTTCATATATTAGTTAACACATTAAGTATTTGTGGTTCTCCCTTGATATTTCAGAGTGAATTTTACATAAATTGATTGTTAGAGATATGCAAATGTAACGTACTATTTTCTTATCATAGGACTCTCCACTGCTGTAGGTGGTGGCCAGTGTAGATGAACACTCTTCGAGGTACCAAGGTTTCTTTCCACTTTCCGCTGTGCTGCTGATGGAGATGGTGTAGATGCTATTGGTGTAACCATCGCAGGAGCAGTGGTCTTTGCTCCTTCCGCCATTGCCAGATGCCCAGACAAACACAGAGCCAAGGCCTCTCCGTCCCTGTTCACAAACACAGAAAGCTAAATGATGGTGTGAAGAGACAAGAACCACAGGATCTAGATCAAGGGGAGACCAGAAGCAAAAAAGCAGAATCAAATATTTTGCAGGATGGTGTGGTATTATTTTAATAATATTTTGGATTTAAGCTGCTTTTGGCAAGGATAAGCAAAATTGCTTTACTAAAATCAAATTGTCATAAAGTGCCAAGAATAATGGTACTATAATAATAAATAAGAAAAGAGTACAATAATAATGGTCAATTCTAAATACACGAATTGGATTGAATTCCTTCAATAACCCTGGGAGATCAATGTTTGTTCCCAGTGTACAAATGAGAAATTGAAGTACAGAAGTTAAGTAATGCTCCTAAGGTCAGACAGCAGTAGACGGCAGGGCCAAATCTGAATCCAGAGAGCTGAACTTCTTGACTGGAATGTTATTAGTTGGAGCCAATATCATCATATATTACTGTTTAAATCTTGGTATTTACTGTGAAATGAGGACTCTTATTTGCCCTCATTTTATATCTAAGGAGCACAAACAAGAGTGAGGTTATGAATCTACGCAAACTAGATTATCGGTGAGCAGAAATCTCACTACACCATTCCTTCTAGAGCTTCCTCTTCTTTGCCTGGTATGAACCCTGACTACTAAGGAAATGTTAATGATGCTACCACATAGAGGAAGATTTCAAGATCACGTATGTGTGGGATTCCCTGTGTTAAACAAAAGTCATTAAGCTTTTTTATTTCAAAGTCTGTAAGATCCTTTTATAAGTGAATGTTCACAGCAAAATTCTACCAGTGGGATGTAGTCTAACAATTTCCTCATATTTGACCACAGGGAACTTCTTCAATGAGATCCATTAACTTTTTCCTATACTGTGAGGAGATTTAGTCACATTCTTTGTGCTAAAACTTGGTAGTTTAAAATAGAATAATTAAAAGACTATTTGTTAAGGTTTTAATTAAGGAATACAAGGAAAACAGAATACAGATGTATAAAGTAAAGCAACTCTTTAGTTTTCTAAGATGATGTTTTCAGAAGACAGCAGAGAAATACGACAGAATAAGGGGTATTGGAGGGGAATAGGTGTAGCTGAATTCTCAATAATTTTTTTAAAAATCATTTTGAAAATAGAAGACATATTGGAGGAGCTCTAGGCCAAATCCATTATTTTATATTTTGGATGTGAGAACCACAGTTCCATAGTCGGTGATGCCTGATTAGCGTTCTTCCTTCAAGGTCCTGATTTTCTGGGCATAGGTGGAGGGGAAAGTATTTGAGACACTGTCTTGGGACTTCTGGAAAAGAGAGCACAAAGAATCTGGGGTATCCATAATAAACTCTCCTTGATCTTGAATCCCCAAGGAGCATTTATGACATGATTTCACTAAAGTGAGCCTGGACTTCTTTTTGTCCTTCAACTGGGAAAAAATGCAACTTGATTACACAGCAATGGTAAAATTTCATGAAAAAAGGAGAATGAACTTGCAGTTCTGATTATTGCTAGACAGTGGGGTTTTTTTTTACTATTTCGGTTTCCCTTCACAATATTCAAGAGACCCAGGGAAGGATGCAAAAGTCAGCATGCGTTTATACTAAGAACGTCAGTCAGTGTTTTATTCATCTCTAACAGAAATTGCATCTCACCTTGCTGTGGGTGATCAGACTGAGAAACAATGGTGGCTGACTCCCATCTAGATCTCAGACACAGAACGACAGAGCCAGAGAAGAAAAGAAAAATGTTCCGATTCATCATCATCATCAACACATTCTCTCTATCAGACTGAGGGGCTATGTAGTAGCCCAAAAGCATGGTCATTGCTGAGTTTTGCTTGGACAGGTCCATAGAATACATGAAATGGCACAAAAACTCACCTGGCTTGAACACCACCATAAAAACGCTAATAAATTAAGAATCTCAAAGCAATGAAAAAGCACATGGGGTCCAATTGCATTTATTTATCTATGTGAAATTATGGCTGTAGGCCCTATTTTTAAAATTCTAAGATTTCATTTCTATTTAAAAGATCTTTAAATAGTAATTTGATTTTAAAAATCATTTAAAAAGAAAATATTTAGAAAGTACTTTTATGCTCACGATATAGTTACAAATGCTGTATACAAAACAATGAAGTATGGTCTTAGGTTTAAAAAAAGTGTGTTGGGGATGGGGATTTAGCTCAGTGGTACCATGCCTACCTGGAAAGCACATGGTCCTGAGTTTGATCCCCAGTTCCGCAAAACAAAACAAAACGAAAAGAGTGTGTGTGTGTGTGTGTGTGTTTGAGTGTAGAAGAAAGGCCATGTGAAGACACAGTGAAAAAGTGGCTTTCTGTAATCTGAGGAGAAAGTCTCACTAGAATTCGGCTCTTTGGTTCCTTTTGGACTTCAGTCTCTAGACTTGTGAGGAAATAAGTTTCTGTTGCTTGAGCACCTAGGCTGCGACATTTTTAGAGCAGTGCTAGCTGACTAACACAGGGACAGAGGAGAACATAACAATGACCTGCCCTTCTGGAAGGCTTCAGAATGCATGGAGGCTGTCATCATCTATCCACGGGGCAATCCAACCATGATACTCACATGTACAATTGATGATTAAAGTCTCAGAAAGGCGCAGGCTGCATTTGTAGGCTGAAAATGCTAGAAAGACACCTTCCAAAAATCTATGGAGTTAATCCGAGACACTTAGCAATCCACAGACTGATTTACTACAAATGCACAGGGTTCTTCTTTAGGGTGAAATACCCAGAAACCAAAACATAGGTGTTTAAAAAAAATCTGGACAGTTCTCCAAAATACAGAGTGATTTAAAAATTAAACCTTCATGTGGGGTGCAAGGTGAAAGGGGGAAAGGCAGAGAATTTATAAAGAGAAAATATTGAGACACATTTTCCTGAAGTGTAGGAAATAATGACATTTCTAACTTGCTAAAATACTGTGATTACAATGGTTATTTAAATATGGCTTTGTGCAGAACAAAAATTCTCTTCAATTTAATTGAGTGCCAAGTTAAAAGTTAATAAACTTATGGTGAAATGTATTGTCAAATCTATGCAGGATCCATTCAATTCAAACACAAAACAGTCTTCTTCATTGTGTGTCTAAATATGCATGTGTTTTTTCTTGTGTATGAGTTACAAAAACCAATTTATATTGCCCCATAAGCATTATTATTAATGGATAAAAAGGAACTAAAGGGTTTTTGGGGTTTTTTTGGTGGCTTAAGGGGTCAGAAGAGGCCATTTTTATGCTAGATTACTAAGTAAGTCATATCCCCAACCCTTGCTAGGTTTTGAGAACTTTAGAGCATGATGTAATTAAACTTCTTTCTTTAACACAGTATGATTATTCTTAGCCAATGAAGCTAGGTTTTATTTGGAATTTTAATATAAATTTCTTCTCCTCTACTGTATAGTAAGTGTTCTTACTAGTAAATTACTTACTAGTTCTTACAGTGAATAAATGCTGGAGGCTTCTTGCAATATAAAAAGCAAAGAGAAAGATAATAATATGTGAGAATTCTATTATTAGTTAATTTAGAGCCATAGCAGCAAGGAAGATGTTTCATATGGACTTTTACAGATTAGGAACCTGAGGAACATTAAGTAACACGTTCTGTATCATTGAACTAGAACACAGTGGAGACAAGAGGAAGAGTCCAAGTAAGATCTGAACCTACGTATCTGTGTAGGACATCTGTATGTACGGCAACATGAAGAGACAAAGTACAACAACCTCAAAATGAGGAACTCTCATTTATCTGTGATCTCTTCCAAGCATAGCCTGAATGCTTAATTGACCAAAGCCCCATACTGTCCCTCTCCCTACCTTTTGTGACTTCTGAATACAGTCCTCTTGTAGACTCATGTGTGTATGATGGCTATTCCATTCTGCATATTTCACAAAAGGGGCTTCCAGAACAAGGGGAGAGGTCTCTAGAAACAAGGATACCTACCACTAATGACTCAGGAGCTGGGAGACAAAGAACTGTTCAGCTTTTTAAAACTAAGGGCATTTTGATTAGTAAAATAAATCTTGTTTCTTCACAGAGCCAAGTTCATTGAAAGAAATAGGTCTAGTTTAGAAGTATATGTAAGACCAAAAAAAAAAAAAAATCCACCCAAGCTAAAACAAAATGAAAGCTTTTAACTACTATTTTAGCACTCACACGACACTTGTTCTGGACTTCTAAAATATATTGCTTCTTTATGAAATTTTAATAACTTTTTGAACCACTATCCTCCATAAGGTAAATAATTAGCATGAACAATAAAGGTGACTTGAAAAATTCAGGCCACAGATGTAGCTCAGTGGCACTGTACCTGCCTGGCAAGCACAAGGTCCTGAGTTTGATCCCTGATTCCACCAAAAACAAAACAGAAAAAAAAAACCAGAAAAGAAATATAGCTGGCAGTGGGACACACACAAAAAAGAGTAGATAGCCACACCATGCCAGTGCTTTGGATGCTACACCAGTAGAACTTGGTGGAGAAAGCTTGCTTAGGGAGGCACAGAGAATGAATCGTGACAGAGATCCAATAAGATATCTTTGGGATAAGAGCTTACTAAAGCTGAGATTTGTTCCTTTAATCAGTCCATTTAAGTAAGGTGCTGAGGCTTGGGAAATTCATTCTATAAAACTGAATTAGACCTAGGGAATAAACTGGGCCATCCCTCCCATCCCCATGGAATGAGACAGACATGAGATGTTTTTAAAGGAGTACAGAGATTTGGACTATGAGAGTTAGGAATCTGAGGTTATGAACTGCTTTTGTCTGGGACAATCCTACATCAAGATGCTAAATTTTCAAGTCATATGATTCTTGCCCTGAAAATGAGTATTCAAGACTTATTTTTTTACAATCTACTCCACAATTGGAATGTCCTATGTAAAGAGTATATAGATTCGCTTGATTGTGTTTCAGCTCTCAGAATTTTTCATTATTGTATTATCAAGATAATTCACGTAGCTGGAGGAACTACTTTATGTAAAA